CCTTTAACCATAATTATCAAGCATGACGAACCAGATAAAGGAAGTAATGCAGCACTTTGATGTAAGAGCCCATGAGAGTGAACCCACATCCATTTGCAACCTGCGCCTGACATTCCAACGAAGAAAAACAGAAAAGCATTTTATGTGATTAAAAAAACTGACAAATATTTCTCCCGAAAATGTTTGTAGGATATGACGTGACCGGTATGTTCTTTTTTTTTTCACTCCATAAGTGGTTGATATATGCAGATGGAATACACTATAAAATTTTGACCGGCAACTACAGATTACAAAGGTGAGTCATTAATTGAACAGCATTCCCACCCCCACCCCCTCCCCCGAAACGCAAGCGCTGATAAGATAAGCCGATAAGACGAGCTCGTACACTGCAAAGCTGCAGTACGAACATCGTTAGTGCGTATACAAAACTTGGCGATGGCCACAACAGTTATACTTATTTATCGTTTACGTCACCCGGAAAAAAAGCATAATGCATGCGTGCTCATCTTTCAGGGCAGAAGCAAGACACTAACAAGAGGAGGCGTTATCGCGCCACTTTCGTGTCAGCCGAGCTGCCTTTCCGTTTTGCTGCCATGAACAGAGAACGAGTAAGCGAAGTGCAATCAGTGCGTGTTCAGCCTCGCATACGTCAAGCGGATTTGCACGTGCCGGGGCCCAGCGGGCGTCAGCAGGGCGATCGCTTCGCATTACCCTTCCGCGGAGACTGCAGCCGATTGTCTTTCTCACTCAATTTCGCCAAAGTGATGCCGCTGAGGATCACCGTGCAGAGAGGCCCGCGCGGTGTCTAATTTACGGCGCGCCCCGATCTGAGCCCATGGAGTGCCGTGCGTGCGCAGGGGCTATCGGCCGCCGCGCCGGCTTCGTTTCTTGTATATGTGTGTCTACCTACACGCCCGCAGAATCGGCAAGAAAGAAAGCGCGTGAAAAGGCAGAGCGTGGATCGTTTTCATGCGTCACGCCTCTTTAGAAAATGAAAGCGTGCCTGGTACGTACCCCCCCCCCCCCTCCTCCACCTCTACCGCCGTTTCTCCCCAGGGGCAACAGTCCTCCCCCTCGAGCACCACCGGCTCTACCGGCGCGCCCTGGCTCGCCTATGTGTCCCGGTAACGGCGTAGTCCATTCGCGCTGCGATAGGAGCAGCAACTCCCGTGCCCCAATGCTCGGTCACTCGACGCCACCGACACTCTGCAGGCCACGCGGCTGCAGGCACACTGCACCCGCTCCGCGTTTGCAGATCTCTCCAATCTCGCGGCTTCTTCCTGATTCTGGGATCCATACAGGCACTCCATGACTTGTAAACAGGATTTCCGGTAGCCGTTCAAACGTTTATTGAGAGCAAAGAAAAGCCACAGCTTCCACGTGAGACATAGGCAACTATACTGAAGTTATGTAGCTAAACTGTTTGAACTGAAACAGTCGAAAAAAAAGATGATCTGTTAACAGTCGTAGCGGTAAATAAGATCTGCTGCAACGCACCCAAACTCGAGCCAGCATACACACCACGTAAACACCTCGGCTGCTGACCCGCAGGTCGCGGGATCGAATCCCGACTGCGGCGGCTGCATTTCCGATGGAGGCCGAAATGTTGTAGGCCCATGTGCTCAGATTTGGGTGCACGTTAAAGAACCCCAGGTGGTAAATTTCCGGAGCCCTCCACTACGGCGTCTCTCATAATCACATGGTGGTTTTTGGACGTTACACCCCACATATCATCATCACCACGTAAACACGCACGGGTGCACATACGATTTCAAGGAGCCGCCGATGGCGATGTTGAAGGCGCAGAGAACGTCGCAGTGCGCAGACAGCCCGATGTAGAATTATTATTGACCCGCGCTTTTTTTTTCCACGCGACTAGTGTCACGTATAGTGCGGCCATGTCGTTTTGCCACCCGACATTTGCCGTCTACGCGTCACAGAGGCTCGTACAACCTTCTTCGGGATACAATGATACTGTCGGGTGTCGTCGGTCACCGCTCGTTAGGCGCATCGTCGCCCTCTGTAGGCACCGCAACGTGGCGGCTGCTCACGGCCAGCTTTACGCGTTGAAGGGAGCGGCGCGTGTGAGAGATCGCCCACTTTGCTGAAACACGTGAGAAGCCGTGCATGCCCGGCGCACATGTTGGACGACGAGGCTCCGGCCGCTGAGTCAGGGTGGTGGCGCGGCTGAATCACTGGTCGCCGCGCCTCGCGTTCATGCCGCAGCTGGTAATTAATGAATTAATGAAGCCAGTGTGCGTCGCTAGCTCGGGACTTTCAGTCGTGATTGAATAACGGTCCTCTACGAGCAGAGTAGGGTGGAGAGATAATCGGGATTTCTTTTCTCTATGTCATCCCCTTGGCTTTTTTTCTGCTTACTGGACGATTGGACATAAACGAAAAAGAAAATAAGTAGCACGAGCTTTGGCATTGAAAATGAAAAATAAAATTCAGACCCTTCCTGCGAATCACCAGCCGAATAGGAAAGTTTTACAGGGAAAAATACAGATAAACATTTGGTTCTTGGTATCCAATAGTTGATAGTCAATAAAATCGTTTCAACGCGCTAAAGTATATATGCATGCTGGGGGAGCCTGTGCTGTCACTCTGGCGAACGTCCATTTGTCGTCCGAACAGTTCAGTTTGCTGCTAGTGTGCCGAAGCAGTAGCCTTCATGCATAACATAAGCACGCGCACAAGTGCACGCATTACGGCGAGTTTTCAGTCCGTGTACCAACAAAGTTCTTCTAACAAATCCTTAAATTTATTTTGGGCCGCCATTGAGCTCGACGCGAGCGAGTACGCCGACTGAAGTGCTGCTCGTGTGGAGCTCCTTCTGAGCGAGCAGCCTTGTGCGTGGAGCCTAACGTCGTCGCACACTTTTGCCGCCTACTGGACAGAGACTTTAACCGAAGTCAAGGCGGGGGCGCGAGCTTGTGTCCACAAAGCAGCGCAAATAGACACGCCGCGCGCAGCCGAGCGCGTCGGCTAGTCTCAAATGGCTGTTGCCTCGTTTCGTCGGGCTCCCGTCAGCTATCTTTTTTAGGGAGAGAAAGAGAGAACTGCTCGCAGAAGGGAACACGAAGGGATGACAAAAAAAAAATGTGGTGGTGTGGGGTAGGAGGAGGGTAGAAAGATGTGCCCTTAAGATGCTTTTCCCGCGGCTTCTTCGATCGCGCACTCGTGGCCCAAGAAGCAGCGCTTGGAGGGGGCACGAGCGAGTCAACAAAGCGCAGTAAGTCACGACCAGCGCCACGCGTGTGCTGCAGCGCCACATGCACGGGCCGGGCTCGACAAATACGCCTCACGCATTGCAAAGACAAGCGCTCTGCGGTCAGGACTGGTGGTCATTAGCCGTCGTATCACATGCGTCAGCTGCGGCGAGGGCCGATGACGAGCCAACGGCAGAAATACAGAAGGAAAAGAACGAATGACCGCGAGGGTCATTCTGATGCCGGAAGACGGCTCCCCCCCCCCCCCCCCCCGCTTTCCACCGCTGTCTGGCACACTGTTATGAGGGCGTGGGTTTTCATGTAAGGGGCGTGCAAATGGGTTCTGCACTTTGGTTTGTCCACTCGTTGTCGCAACTAGAAATCTAATGTATGCGCCGGGTTTTGAGAGACCATTTTCAGCGAACGCCGGGGCAACTGTGGCACGTGCCCATGTTACTGCGTGCAGCACCGCAAAGAAGACAGATTTGATGTCAAAGCGTACACTCGAAACGAATTAATCGATAACTCGCTTTAAAATGTTAAAACGAAGAAGTAACTAAAGGCCTCGCTGAATTTGGGGGTCACATTTACTTTGTGTTCCCCGCAAGGCGCCCAACGTTATGCAACAAGCCATGCAATCCTGTGTACATGCAGAATCTTCCTACACTCCATGTATCGCCGTATATGTATGTTTGTGTGTACCTGCTTACTTACGATGTGTATCAGGGAATAACCATACCTATATTGCAAATAGTAACACACTCCGTGCAATAAAGTATCTGTTTTAAAACACATGACAAGAACTTATGCATAGCCAAATTACCGAGGGGGTAATGGATAAAATTTGTTATTCTACTGTTTTTCTTGCGTTAGACATTTGTAGCTGTAAGTACAATGTTCACAGCATCAAATACTGTTCGTTATGGCCGGGCTCGAGCATGAGTATAGCTGTATTAGTCAACATGTTCAGTGTATTGCTTGTCTAAAAAAATAGGGTGTGTAGCCACTAGCTTACAATGCCAAACGACAGCAGCACTATGAATTTTAACGTAAGCGATTGCGTAAATCACAGAGCGCATTCAGATGTACCACAATGTTTCGAAACCAGGGGCGCGACGTCACAACACACGCAGAAGAGTTTCGTGCGTACTGTTTGGCATCAACGGCAGTTGGTACAAGACGTAAATGTGAACGCTCGCTTTCTTCGCACATTTGTACCTATACGACCAAGAACCATGTATAAGTGACTTTTGAAAGGGGAAAAGGAAGAAATAAGCGCAGTTCCGTTACTGCCTCTCTGTCAATGGAGGGCACTTCCACAGTTCTGCGCAGGCGATGGGGGTAAGGAGGGATTGAAAAGGATAGGGAGGAAGTAATAGTATAGAGATAGGGAAAGGCGCAGGGACAGAGAGAAACGCAGGGACAGCCACATACGAAATAAAAGGAGAAGATGGGAAAGATGGACATGGTCGCAGAAGTACAAGGACGGTGCACCCCTCAGCGAGAGCTCTTGTCAGCGTCAGGAGATGGCGTAGGGCGAGGCAGTCGGCCAGAGCTGCGCTGTCATTTGACACATTCAATATACCACAAAGCAGGTATAGGCGGTATAGTCCTGCAGGCCGAAGATGTATGGTGCCCTGATATATCTGGGAGGAAGGTGTACGGGCAGGTGTACAGTGTATGCACTCGGCTGGACGAACCTGACAATCAGTTGTGCATACAAGTCAAGTAGATTTATGCGATGGCGTCTCATTCTTTCTTTCGCTCTGTGGCACCACCATTTTGCAGGATCGTGCGCAACAAGGCAGCCGAGAAGGCCAAGCACCACCACGTGTCGTCCAACGGCGGCAGTCCGCAGCCCCAGTCGTCGCCCACGTCGGTGATCACGCACGCGCCAGCATCGGCGCATGAGTCGAGCGTCTCTGCGGCGGCAGCCGCGGCTGCCCTGCAGAGGCCCTCATACTCCATCAACGGCATCCTGGGCATTCCCAGCGCCGAGGCGGCCAAGCGCAAGCGCGACGACCAGGTCTCACAAGGTGAGCGCTTACAGAGCACTTCCAGTCCACGCCGTGGTGCCCATGCGGCCCTGGCTTCTGCAGTCACTCAGAAGTTCAAGTTTGAGAGACTCAGAGTATGAATATTTGACGCTATCCGCTTAGAATATCTACCTGCAGTAGTCCCCTACGACAGTTCAACTAATAAAGACTGATTATTGTAAGGGTCCTCACAAAGCGTCCAGTTATCAGTAATTGACTACCACTGACTCTTCGAAGTCTTCAATATCATCTCATATGTTATCAGGATTACCACAGTGTGTTACCAGGCGAACCTTTAGTTCGCATGAGAGGCTTTGGTAATTCAAACAACGAAGATTTTTCTGTACTTGATAAGCTTCTGAAGTTGGCGGCCTCTCTTGGTAGCAGAAGCAACACCATAGGCATTATCGACGACTGTTTGTGAAACTTGTTTACTTAGCATGTGATTTTAGCTTCTCTAACGAGGGTTGCTTATGTAGTATCGAAGAAAAAAAAAGAATTAGAAGTATTCGTCAAGAACGCCAAATTCACTTGCTCTTGAGTGCGCCCCTTAAGCATCGTTCATTAGCGATATATAATTCAGGTGACCAAGCACCATTTCTGTTTATGGGAACAAAAAGCGTGTGGACGACAGGTATAAGCGCGTAATTGAATTCCCTTCGTAAAAAACCCCGCCTTTGTCCTTCGAACTATTAGCGGGCAATACGGACGTACCATATAGCCAGCAGTTTTCATCTTTCGATATGCAGTTTCAATCAGTGCACGATTACGGCTGCCGACCAGCCCACATTGTCTTCTTCATATCACATACATACCACAGCGATGACACATGCATGGAGTCACTACGGCGACTACTGACTTTCGTCCTTGTTTACATATGCAACGGACATGAGCTCACACCACACGACTCGCAAAGTCACGGCAATATATCATCAAACATAATTTTCAGTCCTCGTAATTTCAGCAGGTTTGCTGCCTAAGAAGACGGGACGATGATATTATATGTGAGGGCGAAATAAGGAATATTTCCAATGAAATTGTCTTATACAGTGCCATGTTCCGCGATACAAAGGAATGCAGCATCCGACATGGAAAATGCTCACTTGCATTGACGAAACATAAATAACGCGGCTGCACCTGACCACGCACCCATCCCGCACAAGCATGCTGACGAGTGGGAGCATGTGCCACCCGGACCGCAGTTCACCTGAAAGGAACCGCTTTCACGAGAGCGGTTCGGGTGGCACAGCACGTGGCTTGCGTACGCGCCTTGCCGCAGGCATCGCGTCTCATGGACCACAACTCCGCCTTTCTCACTTCCGCTTCCGTCCGTGCTAGACAGGGGAGCTGCCTTCAAAAGTGCCGCCCAGGGCGGCTTCTTTTTCGGCAAGCGAGAGCGCGACTGCGGGGAAACATGTTCGTGCTGTTGTGGTGCCGCCCCCGCGCTATTCGACGACATTCTCGGCGGTCACCTCCGGGGTGGGAGAAACACAAGGCTGCCAACAGACACATGACCGAAAACGTCGTCATCCACGCTGCTTGACGCACGTAAACGGAAAATACCAAAACAGGCCGACCTTCTTCTCCATGTCGGGATCTCTGCAGGCCAAAGAGACCTTCTGTCGGCTGAAAGTTTCGGAGTATGTAGTCATAGACGAGAGACGTCTCGGGGCGGAACGCGTGTTTTTCACTTTAATCACTGAAACACGTAGTCCTTATTCCACTGAAATCGTTTTCTAGCGTGAGGTAAGAGACCGTTTTGCTTTGGCTCTTAAAGGATGCACATTTACTGTTGCAGAGGCTTCCTTCTTCATTAGAGAGGTGATTTCTCGACCTGGTTCGGGAGCATGTATAGGAAGAGGGCGCCTTGGAGTGGTGCTATACATTCGCTTCGTGGTATTGCGGTCGTTAGCGGTTAAATGCTTCCCGGACATATAGCAGGCAGCGTGGTCACAAAGAGTGGAAAGAAGGATCGGCGTCGCAATAACACACAAAGCAAGAGGTGCAAGTGTGGGCGTGTATCTGAAACGAAAGAGGAAAAGAAGCCGAAAAGTACCCGAAAAAAAAAGGGGGGGGGGGGGCAGGAGTGAGCAGAGTACGGTCCTCGACGATCGGGCCGTCCGGTCCGGAAGGAGAAATCTGCCTGGGCCAACAGCGGCGCTCATTTTTCTCCGCGCGCGCAGGCGTCGTCCCGCGTCTCTACAGTGCTGCGACATAGGCTGGCGCACTGAGCCACAGCACCATTTATCCTCGCTCGCTCAAGACGCCTATTAATATACAACGTGGCCGCTCTCCTCGGCCACCGGGCAGGCGCTGTCCAAACACGGGTGCCCCCTCCTCCCCCGCTCTCCACCACCGCCGCCTCAGCGCTCGCACCAATAATAAAGTAACGCGTCGGACCACGCCGCCACATTCATAGCCAGCTCATTCGTATACGTCAGAAGCAGAATATCAAGGAGCCCTGCCCCCGACCCGCCGCTGTCCCCTCTTTCTGTTTTGCTCTCTTCTGGCTTTCATGGTTTTGCTTTCTTACTGATGTGGCTGGTCGCCTGACATTTACTGCCCCCCCCCCCCCCCTACCCCTCCCCAAGCTGCCTCCGCTTCTGTACCACTTACAGAAGAGCGGCGGGATCGAGTGGCGCGCGCAAAGTGCCCGTTGCTCGGTTATGTGCCCGGATTTGGTAATGCGTGGCAATCAAGGGAACATGTCCGGCGTGATCGCGCGGAGCCCGCAATTACGACTCCCGAAACGTTCGCGGCGTACGCGATGGAGGTGACCTGCGCACGCGACGCTGTTGCGAGAGCTACATGTGTCGAACCTTGTTGTTTCGAGGTCCTAACCGCAAGGCCTGTCAATCCCTCTAATTTCGAGCCGCAGGGGATACACCGAAGGCGATGCGGACGGACGCGCGTAGCATTCTCGATGGGATGTTTACTCGCCCCCGTCCAACATTGCTTGGCTACAGAACAGTGCAGGGCACGGGCCATCCTCCCAATTCATCATTTTCCCGGACCGTAAAAAAGAGAAAAAAATCGAGATAACCAGCTATATTAATTTCAGACACTGACGTGCTCGGAATTATGAACCCCTGCGCGTGCATGGCTTAATTGTAAAGCACACGCTCATTGGAAGTGCGCAGAGCCATCCCCATTCGGTGTTGCTGTGGCCTCGGAAGATGAATTACTCCAATATGGTAGTATTGTTTTTCGTAATTTTTCTGTTTCTTTTCGTACAGCATTTCTTTGAGATTAGCATTACTCCACTGCGGTCTTGAAATGTCCCGGTACCGCAACTTGTTCTCTTCCTCCGCAAAGTACGAACACCCCGCATAGAAGCCGTGGGTTTCAAGGACAGTTATTGCTATCCGTATGGCAGATCCAGCTTCCGAGCAGTAGAGATGGTTGGCCGCCACCGAGGCGCCTGCAACCCGTCTGCCGGTGTGCGAAGCGCGCCCCCGTTATCGCGCGAAACCCGAACTTCCCTGTGGCACGGCGGTGGCATCGGCGGCGAAAGGTCGCACAAAGTGGAGGACACAAGGTCGCGACATAGCCGGTGCGAAGAGAGTCTTCGAAGACAAGGAAAACTGGCGGTCAATAGCAGCAAAGACAACATACGGGCGGAGCAGGTCCCTCGCCGACGCGCGGTGACTAGAGAGTCACTTGGGAGGGGGGGAGGTAACCCTTGCCGGGCTACGGGTTTTCGAAGAAGGGGGCCGCTTTGGCGCTTTCCGGCCGACCGAGCGAAGGGCGACGACGCCTATCGCGCGGCCGCATCTCCCGCGGGGCCGCCACTGCGCGTACAATGGTTCGCCTTGTGGCGTGGCGCTGGCCCGGCGGCTTCGCCTTTGAGCGGGCGCCATCTGAGACGGCGACCAGGACTCTGCGGCGGCATCGGGGCCGCGAGACGACGAAGGGCGACATGTGCGCGCCTCTCTCCTCCGGTGACGAGCTCCAAACACGTGCTGTCCGCTTGTCACGTCCCCGTATCTGTGGCGGCGGAGGCTGTCGCTCTTTCGCCGCTGTCTTTCTGCGCGAAAGAGAGCGCCGTCTACGCTCCTCACTCTCGTCTTGCCGAAAGCGGCCGCTGATATGATTTCTGCAGGCAAATGTTAGCGGTGCTGACTACGTTTGCTCTAATACAGCCTCCTCTTCTCTCTTTCTTCTTCATGTCCGTGGACAGGCGGTTAATCTTCCAACCGCACGGTCTGGAAGTTACTCTCTATTTCTTCTCGCCCGCCATATCTGGGCCCCGCTTTACGAGCGTCACGTTTTGCAGTCACGGCTTCCCACAGCACTGCGGTTGAGTCGCAATACGGAAGGCTCTGCGGCAGCTTTTACTACGTGCCCACGAAAGAATGCGCTCCTCGTGGAGTTTGGATAATTAACGGCTTTCGGGCGTCCCCGACGCCAACACGTGCTCGAAAAATGTCTGCGAAAGGCGCAACTGGTTCTGGATAAAGGGTTGTTTGCTCGATGAAAATACCCCGAAAGGGCTACTATTCATGCGCTGTTGCTGTAGCATCCGGCTGATCCTGAACTTAGCTTTCGAGCTTCGCTAACAGCAAATTTTGTTAAAAAATGAATTTATATATAACTGCTTAATTTATACTGATGCTGCAGTAGGCTGCGAAGTTCTGCAGTGATACGCTGTTCTAGACAAAAAGGTGAGAAGTATTTACGGGCAGAAAGGTCGAAGCACATTCACTACATTGCAAACAATCGCGGACAACGACAATGTTCCAAATGAATTAATGCATTTTGACAAGGGCAAAATGTGTCAAGAATAAAAGACTGCGGAGTTTTTTTTTTCGGTTGTTCCCTACCTCCCCCCCCCCCCTTTTTTTTCTACAGTAATTTCCTCCAGGAACTGCAAGTACGCTCTTCCAGTTCATATTGTCATTTCTTTTTGTACATGCCCTGCTTATATTACACACCTTATTTGTTTATACCGCTAGGAAAATCTACAATAAAGTACCAGTAAGATACCGGAAATATTTTCC